TTTATGCCCAATTATTATCTACAAAGACTCTTTCTATATTACTAAATGTTATTTCAATTTGAAGTAGCCACAGAAATGTGCGGTTTAGATGGTAGAATTTACTTAGCGATTAAAACAACACACTGGCCAGTGTGTCGGCGGTACAAACGTTTACGAGGCTATTCACGAACATGAAAAAGGCTGCGCTAGAAATACCACAGGCCTGGTTCTTTAACTGAAGACCAGAAACGTAGATCTGTCGTAAAACCCAGCGGTGAAAGTTACCAGTAACGCAACGTGGCTTTGTTAAGTTTCCGTTTGTTCGTAAATTGACCAGGCGACTCTAAGGAAGGGTCATTCGGCAAAAAAGTTGAACGAAAAAGGGGAACTATAAAGTGTAACAATGGTTACCTAGGGAACGTCGTGTTTACTCGGCATTGTTGTTACCTAGGAAACGTCATCTGTTTATCAACAAATAAACAACAATGGTTACCTAGGAAACTTCATCTGTTTATCAACAAATCGACAATAATGGTTACCTAAGGAACATCTATTTACTCGGCATTGTTGTTACCTATAAAACATTACCTTACCTTACCTTACCTTACCTTACCTTACCTTACCTTACCTTACCTTACCTTACCTTACCTTACCTTACCTTACCTTACCTTACCTTACCTTACCTTACCTTACCTTACATTATCGCAGCAACTAAGAAATATGTGAATATAGATGACGCAATGTTATTCACAAAGAGACTAGAGGTTAGATGGTTGTTTGAAGACGTCGTTACATACAAATGTAGTATATTTGAAACACTATTTCTTTCGAGTCATTCAAGCATGAGGTAAACCGAACATCGTATTCCTTTCAAATTTACATATAAACGGTAAAATGCAATCTATATTTAGTGGCATTAGTTTAGAACGAAAAAAGCAAAATATTAGTTCTCGGCTACATTACAGACCGTTCTTAAAGTTTCAGAAATGGTGGGTTAATAAACTTAAAGGGAAATGTTTAAAGTTATTATGAACATGTACATTATGGTTTAAATATTGAGTGGTTTGAAGTATCACTATTGTCCGATTTATATTATAAAAGTTACAGGCTGATTTATTGTGTTGTCCCACATCGCGTTTTCAGCTCGAGAAATGCACAATTCTGTTCCAACGTTAATTAACGAGCAACGTTCACGTAGGTTGTCGGGGATTATCGCAGTAACTAAGATGTGTGTGAATACAGACGGCGCAATGTTATTCACAGAGAGATTTGAGGTTTGATGGTTGTTTGAAGACGTTTAATCAAAAAAAATTGTGTATATGAATCACAATTTCATTCGATTTATTCAAGCTTGATGTAACTAGAACATCATTATCATTTTAATATTACATAATAATGATAAAATACAATCTATATTTAGTGGCATTGGGCTCAGAATTTGAAAAGCAAAATATTAGTTCCCGGCTATATTACACACCGTTCTTAAAGTGTCAGAAATGGTGGGTTCATAAACTTAAAGTTAAATGTTTAAAGTTATTAAAAATATTAGGGTTAGATATTGAATGGTTTGAAGTAGCACAATTGTCCGCTTAATATTCTAAAAGTTACAGGCTGATTTATTGTGTTGTCAAATTTCGCTTTTTCAGCTCGTGAAATGCACAATTCTGTTACGTTAGTTAGAGTACAACGACCACGTAGGTTGTCGGGGATTATCGCAGTAACTAAGAAGTGTGTGAATTCAAACGACGCAATGTTATTCACTGAGCGACATCAGGTTTGTTGGTTGTTCAAAGAAGATTTTTCAAAAAATATTGTATATTTGAAACACAATTACTTCCGAGTTATTCAAGCATGATGTAACTCGAACATCACAATCCTTTTAAAATTATATATTAATGGTAAAATACAATCTATATTTAGAGGCACTTGGCTCAGAACTTAAAAAGCAAAATATTGGTTCCCGTCTACATTACAGACCGTACTTAAAGTGTCAGAAATGGTGGTTCATAAACTTGAAGGGAAATATTTCCAGTTATTATAAACATGTACATAAGGGATAGCTCAGTCAATATAGTGACTAGCTACGGGCTGGACGACCGGGGTTCGATCCCCGACGGGGGCAGAGGATTTTTCCTCTAGCCTCTGCGTCCAGACCGGCTCTGGGGCCCACCCAGCCTCCTGTCCAATGGGTACCGGGGTCCTTTCCCGGGGGTAAAGCACGGCCGGGGCGTGATGCTGACCACTCACCCCCATCTAGTGCCGAGGTCAAGGAAGAGAGGAGCTATACCTCCACTCACCCCAAACGCCTACATGGCGTATAGTGGGACAAACTTTACTTTACTTTTACATAAGGGTTAGATATTGAATGGTTTTAAGTAGCACGATTATCCGATTAATATTCTAAAAGTCACAGGCTGATTTATTTTGTTGCCCAATTTCGCGTTTCAGCTCCTGAAAAGCACAACTCTGTTACAAAGTTCATTAGCGTGCAGTGAATTCGTAGTTAGTCGGAGATTATCGCAGCAACTAAGAAATATGTGAATACAGATGACAATGTTATTCACAGAGAGACTTGAGGTTTGATTGTAGTTTGAAGACGTTTTATCATACAAATTTTCTATATTTTAAACACTATTTCCTTCCAGTCATTCAAGCATGATGTAACTCCAACATCGTATTCCTTTTAAAATTACATATTAACGGTTAAAAATATTCTATATTTAGTGGCAATGGGCTCAGAACGTAAAAAGCAAAATATTAGTCCCCATTATACATTACAGAACGCTCTTAAAATATCAGAATGTGTAGGTTCATAAACTTAAAGGAAAATGTTTCCAGTTATTATAATCATGTACATTAGGGTCAGAAATTGAATGGATTTAAGTAGCACTATAGTCCGATTAAAATTCTAAAATTTACAGGCTGATTTATTGCGTTGTTAAATTTCGCGTTTTCACATCGTGAAAAGCACAATTCTTTTTCAACTTTCATTAGCGTGCAGTGACCGCGTAGTTTGCCGGGGATTATCGCACAAACGAAGAAGAGTGGGAATTCAGACGACACTATGTTATTCACAGACAGAATTTGGGTTTGAATGGTTGTTTGAAGACGTCTTACCATACAAATTTTGTATATTTGAAACACTATTTCCTTCGAGTTATTCAAACATGATGAAACCTGAACGTCATATCCCTTTCAAAATTACGTTTTAACAGTAAGATACAGTCAGTATTTAGTGTTATTGGTCCCAATAACATTTTACCTTTAATACATAATCTTGAAAGAAAATGACGTTCGTGGTACATAATGTTTGAATAACTCGAAGTTCTAAGTGTTACAAATACACAACATTTGTATGATAAGACGTCCTCAGCGAACCATCAAACAACAAGTCTGTAAAGGTACAATTTGGCTGCACGCGACAAGACAAGCGACCGAGGCAGGCGACAGAGTTACGAGACCGAGACTGGTCGCTTCCTGTCTGCTCTCTGTACAATCGTATGAAGTACAATTACGAGCGCGAGACAAAGACAGGCGACAGAGACAAAGCACAGGAGACCGCTCTCGGACCAGTAGTGTCTCGCGACGGGCTCAGGCAGCACGTGTGTTGTTGAGTAAAATAATGGCAGAAATTAAATTTACTGGTGACCAAGATGAGAAATTGGTAGAATTAGTAGCAGAAAACCGACCACTGACCAC